GATATTTTAATGGACGACAACATCAAGTGCATGATTTGAAAATACAGAAATAATTCATGAATAAATAATGGGATTGTAATTTGGATTTGCATTTTAAATAGAGAAATAATCCGATTTACAATTTGAATTAAAAGCACAGATTCCGAAGTAGTTTCACATTTCGATGTTATAGTGGCGGTTTGTGGTTATTTAGTTTGCCTGTTTTATGTTTCTGCAGGAAGGAGTGGCATCCCATAATGAGAACATGCAGTATTTGAACCTGGCAATAACGGCATGTGCTCAAAAGCAGAAGAATCTCTGCGGCAGCCAACTGACCCAGGACCCCAGAGACGCCCGCCCTGCTAAACGGGACTCTAGCGGACAAATTAAGAAAAACATTGAATCAATAAGGGATTCTGCACCCTTCAGCGTTCCCTTCGGGCCAAATCTCATCTCCGTGCGCTGTCAGCAAGACGACTCAACAGAAACGAGGGAGACGACCCCGAAAGATGAGGAGGTCAAATCTTCCAGGAACCGAGGAGGCAAATCTCTAGAGGACTTCGCTGTCAGCTCAGACGCAGCACAGAGAACTGAGGCGGACACGAAACAGAAACGCACCCCTGGTTTGACTCAGTGTGGATCATGTGACTGTTCTGATGGAACATCTTCAGAGGATTTAGAGGATTCAATAATAACCACTAATGACCTTTTAGACTGCCTGGTGCATCCTGATGTCATCTCCCGTGTCACTGAGCTCTTACTGGAAAGGCACACAGGAACTCAGAGGACCTCTGCACCATCCCAGCTTTAATATTCGCCTGCCACACACAGTACGCACGTTAGGTTCACTGGAGTTCAGTGAGTTAGAGCTGGAGGAAAATAAACCTGCAGATCCTTTGCTGCAGAAATTCATCCTCTGAGCTTACAGTAATGGTTTGGTGTCAGTAAGAAGTGACAGAGGAGAGCTGAAGATTAACACTTTTCTCCCTCCGGAGATTGACCCCAGCTGCGAGAAGTCTCAGACCAAAACTAATTGTAATGCGACGACCGACACCATCGAGTGGCTCGGAACATTTCCTCGTTTTGTTATCCTACACAGACTAATCCTGTTTGCTTCTTCCCCAGCAAGAAATACGATCATTTAAATCAATTTACTATGCTAATAAGGCAAATAATGCAGGATGATGTCGCTGGGATGTGAACATTTGTTTTCCGCGTAATGTTTCCTGGTTGTTTAGTAATGAGCACTGTCATTGGACGGGAACAGGAGGCAGATTGTAATGGTTGATGATTGATGTGAGGAGCCATGAAAGAAATCAGTCTCAGACGAAACGAAAGACGAGTGTGCGCCTACAAATATAATAAATATCATGTCACCAACAATTTGTCAAATGTAATTTGTTGGGTTTTTTTCCACTGACACAAATTTTATTGTACAGACGTGAACATAGATAATCACAGATTAATACAAAAATACGGATGTACATTTTAAACTTCATTGAAAACTTCCTACAGCAGCAAGTTTTAACAACGCATGGGTCTATTTACAGAACTTAACAGGGAGCAGCATCATTTACACTTCACCCTGAATAAAACATCAAGTATTTAATGACTTTAAAGGACCAAACTGTTGGTTTTGCATGTTTAAGCACATTAAACAACTCAACTCACAAAAAAAATAAACTGTGGAAGTGAAAGAACATAAACATCCAGGACCCTGAAAGTGAAGCGGCCACATTCTGTCACAGTTTTGTATTTTC